AAAAAAAATAATAAAATCTGTTGGGGCTGGGGGGTTAGAGAGATCTCTGTTAAAAGTCTTGCTGCTTTTGCACAGGACATGGGTTCGATTTCCATCACCCACATACATAAGGCTCACGGCTGTCCATAACTCCAGTCCCAGACCTCTTCAGACATCAAAGGGCACTGCAGGTGCAGATGTACAAACACACATGGCACCGAAACAGCCACACAAAGTTGATATCACGCCAACTCCTATTCATCCAAAAAAGTAAAGACCTGTACACCACCACCACCCACCCCCAGTACAGGACCCAAGCACCTCTTTGTTAGGTTTCAAACCTGGGACAAATGGTTGTGGTGTCTAACACTCTTGGACTTCATTTCCCAGAGGCATCAGCAGTTGCTGTGAAATGCATGCTGGGAGTTAAAACCCCGGTTTCCATGGATACATGCGGGTCTTTCCTAGGAAAGTTAGGGGGCAAACTGAAAGCTATTTTCACACGATGTGCCTCTTAGTCACAGTGTTTGCGCATACGCAGGACAGTTTGTGGGTAAGCGGAAACAGGTTTATGGAGTAGTCGCCAACCTTAGAGGTGGATTTATCTGGCGTTGGTACTGTGCGCATGCGTAGTACATGTGTTGCGCATGCACAGATCTGTCACCACGGCAAGCCTGTGAATAGAGTATCTGAATCGCTTGGAAATTTTTCAAGTTGTCCTGTGCACCATTTTTTTTTTCCTCTTCTTCCCTTACAGAAAAATGTGGCCAAGAGAGATGGTTCCATCTAAAGTACTTGCATGCTGTCGCAATGTGGGCAAGGTAGGAGCAATGATGTGGAATCTTTCAGGAATAAGCACTCTGACATTAATGACAGTGAGGGGACCAGATGTCACGGGTGGACTGAAGCCAGAATAGCTCCGGAAAGACTTTGATCTCAGGTCCAGTTTGCATTCTAATTTTATACCTTAAACCTACAAGGTGGGGCTTAAAGGAGACCCCTTCCCTCCCTGACCCCGGATTAGGCACAAACCACATCCAAACACCAGTTTTCACAGAGAGATCCTTCATTAAGCGGGGAGGAAAAGTTAAAAGTGGCTGCTTTCTGACTCGGGCAGAAAAACAGCTGTCAATGACCTTGTAGAAAAAGAAAGAAAGAAGTGTAGGCCTATGTTAGAATGGGCTAGG